AATAAATAAATAAATAAATAAATAAATAAATAAATAAATATAAATGTATATACCCGTAATTGTTTGTAGATGTCAGTGGAGACAGCAGCAGTTTGCTTTTTCTTCTTCCTCTTTCTGCTGCTGCTGCTGCTGCTGCTGCTGCTCTTTGCTGCAGCAGCAGCAGCAGCAACAGATGCTGCAGCTGCTGCTGTCTTCTTTTGTTTTTATTTAATTGACAATACATTATTATTATAATTATACAGTAAATAAATAAATAAATAAATAAATAAAATAAATAAATAAATAAATAAATAAATATTATTTATTTATTTATTTATATTATTATTTATTTTAGGGTTTAATAACGAAAAATTTAGAGGTTAGGATTTTCTTCAAATTAGGGTTTAGGGTTTAGGGTTTAGGGTTTAGGGTTTAGTAGGTACAGTCTAGAGGGACAAACCAACAACTGCTGCCTTCCTTGTAAGTGTACATTTTGTTACAGCAGCAACAGCAGCAGCAACAGCAACAGCAGCAGCAACAGCAACAGCAGCAGCAACAGCAGTAGAAACAGCAGCAGAAACAACAGCAGCAACAGCAGCACTAACAGCAGCAGCAACAGCAGCATTTCTGCATGCGTTGCTGCTGCTTCTAATGTATGCACACACCTACAAGTATCGTGCAGCACCTGCAGCAGCAGCAGGAAGAAGAGAGTCTTCTACAAGAGAAGCAGCAAATAAATTGTCTTTATTTATATTATTATACGTATACACCTAAAATAATTGCTGCAGCAGCAAGAAATTCTAGTAGCTGCTGCTGTTGCAGTTGCTGCTGCTGCAGTTGCTCCTGCTGCTGCAGTTCCTACTGCTGCAGCAGCAGCAGCAGCTGCTGCTGCACTTGCTGCTGCAGCTTCCTCCTGCAACACACCGCATTTTCTCTCTATTTCTCTTTATTAATACCTATATAACATCTTAGCTTGCATTGAACAGCAGCAGCAACAGCTGCTGCTGCTGCTGCTGCTGCTGCTACGGCTGCAGCTCCAGCAGCATCTGCTGCAACAAAAGCTGCAGCTGCAGCAACTGCAGCAGCATCAGCAGCAGCACTAGCAGCAAGCGTATCAGCTCTCCCATCATACATCTAAAGGGACGTCTTCTTCACAGTAGTAGGATCTGCTGCACGACAGCAGCAGCAGCAGCAGCAGCAGCAGCATAAGCAGCAGGAACAGCAGCAGCAGAATTGCCCCTTTGAGGCACGCATCTTGCTGCTGCTGCTGCTTCTGCTTTGAGTAAAGAGCACAACAGCAGCAGCAGCAGCAGCAGCAGCAGCAGAATCAGCAAGAGGCAATGGGGCATAACGGTGGGGATATGCTGCAGATGGCGTCTAATGGTGACGATAATCATCTGCAGCAGCAGCAGCAGCAGCAGCAGCAGCAGGATTTACAGGAGTTGCATCAACTGCAGCAGCAGCAGCAGGAGGAAATAGAGCAGCTGCAGCAGCAAGCTGAGCTGCTGCTGCAGCAAATAAAAAAAGATCCATGGAGGGCTTCTTACTATGAGGCAGCACTAAGGGCATACTCTGCCTTAGGAAATATTTCTAAGGTAGGTCTTGCTGCTGCTGCTGCTGCTGCTGCTGCTGCTGCTGTTGCTGCTGCTGCTGGTGCTGCATGGTGCTGCTGCTAGTGGTTCATGAAGCTGCTGCAGCGTGCTGCTGCTGCTGCTGTTGCTGCTGCTGATGCATGTCTGAACTTCTTTCCCTATACCATTCTTTTTCCTTTGTTGTTGCTGCTGCTGCTATTGCTGCTGCTGCTGCTGCTGCTGCTGCTGTATTGTTGCTGCAGGTTCGTGAGGTGCAGCGGGCATATGCAGAGCATTGCCCAATAGATGAGGAGTTGCTGCTGCAGTGGTATGAAGCAGAGCGACGTCTAAGCAGCAGCAGCAGCAGCAGCAGCAACAGCAGCAGCAGCAGCAACAACAACAACCCTAACAGCAGCAACAGTCATAGCACCTCTCCTCCTGGCTCTTTCTCAACCAATAGCAGCACGGGTACCACCCCGAGCAGCAGCAGCAGCAGCAGCAATGGCATAGCCATTAACAGCAGCAGCAGCAGCAGCAGCAGCAGCAGCAACGTAGACGAGGCTCGTGCGCTCCTTGAGCTTGGCTTACGTCTACAGCCATCAGTGTCTCTATGGCTAGTATATATCCGTCATCTAGAGGGTACCCCATCTGCTGCTGCTGCCTCATGTGCATCTGCTGCTCCTGCTGCAGCAGGAACAGCAACAGCAGCAGCAGCAGCAGCAGCAGCAGCAGCAGCAGATAGGGAGAAGGAGTGGGCCCTCCGCCTAGCCTTTGAGGAATCCTTAAAGATGTTTAAGATGCATGCACTAGAGGGCCCCTGTCTATGGTCTGCCTATAGGAGGTTCGAGGCCCAGCTGCTGCGCAGCAGCAGCAGCAGCAGCAGCAGCAGCAGCAGTAATAGCAGCAGCAGTAGTAGCAGCAACTGCAGCAGCAACAACAGACTGCAGCAGCAGCAGCAGCAGCAGCTGCAGCTATCAAGGATTCGTACTCTTTTCTATAGACAATTGCAACTCCCTCTTGGGGGACTTGGAGACTTACTTGATGAATATAGGTCTGCTGCTGCTGCTGCTGCTGCTGCTGCTGTTGCTGTTGCTGCTGCTGCTGCTTATTGTCTCCTTATTATTGTCTCCTTTTTCCTGTCTCCTTTGTTGCCCATATATGTATGTATTAAGGTTTAGGGTTTAGGTTATATATAAATAAATTAGGGTTTAGGGTTTAGGGTTTAGGGTTTAGGGTTTAGGGTTTGTGTGTATAGGGTTTGGGAGCAAGAGCATACAGGTAGCGAAGCAGCATTTGCTGCTGGTGCTGCAGCGCATGCAATTGGCAGCAAGGAATGGAGCAGCAGCAGGAAAAGATACGAGATGCAAATACAGGCAGCACTAGAGGAGGATCAGGCTAATAGACAAATACATGTATAGTACTGCTGCTGTTGCTGCTGCTGCTGCTGCTGCTGTTGCTGCTGCTGCTGTTGCTGTTGTTGGTTCTGTTGCTGCTGATGTTATTGTTGCTGCTGCTGTTGTTGATGCTGCTATTTCTTTTGCGGCTGCTTACCTCTCTTGCTACTTCTGCTGCTGTCGCTCTTCCTCCTCCTGCTGCTGCAGCAGCAACAACAACAACAGCAGCAGCAGCAGCAGCAGCAGCAGCAGGATATGCTGTGTGCGTTGTGGTGTATATGCAGTTAATATATCGTGTATGGATGGATTATATAATGAGTGAGAGGAAGAGAGGAGAAGCAGCAGCAGCAGCAGGAGGAGGAGCAGCAGGAGCAGCAGCAGCAGCAGGAGCAACAGCAGCAGCAGCAAGAGTAATAATAACTTATTACCGTGCTATAGAGGAGCTAGGTACTATTAAGCCTGAATTATACAAGGAATGTGCTGATTATATTGCTGCTGCTGCTGCTGCAGCAGCAGCAAAAGAGGAGCAGCAGCGAAAACAAGCACAGCAAGAGCAGCAGATGCAGCAGCAGCAGCAAGACGAGCAGCAGCAGCAGCAGCAGCAGCGGGAGAGTTGTATAGAATTTGAGGGTCCTGAGGCAGCAGTTGCTGCTGCATCTGCTGCTGCTGCTGCAGCAGCAGCAGCAGCAGAAGCAGCGGGTAAAGACCCATCAGAAGTAGCGTCTGCAGCAGAATTAGCAGGTGCTGCTGCTGCTGTTGCTGTTGCTGTTGCTTGTTGTTGTTGTGCTGTTGCTGTAGCAGGTGCTAGTAATGTTGCTGTTGTTATGTTGCTGCTGTTGCTGCTGCTGCTGTTGCTGCATTTTTCCTCCTTCCTTACTTCCTACTACTACTACTGTTGCTGCTGCTGCTGTTGCTGCTGCTGCTGCTGCAGGGTACAGGGGGTGCATCATTAGCAGCAGTATGCCGTGCTCGTGACTCTGCTGTTGCTGCTTGCCATCTAAGGCCTAAGGCTGCGGTGTATCTGCAGCTTGCATGCGCTGATGCAGCAAAAGCGATTGCTGCACGATCTACTGCAGCAGTAGCAGCAGCAGCAGCAGATACTCAGCAGCAGCAGCAGCAGCAGCAGCAACAGCAGCAGGAAGCAGCAATCCTTGAGGCGCTGCAGTCTCTTGCTAACGCAGAGAAGCTAGCAGAACAAACTGGAGGAGAGACAGTTGCTGCTGATCAGCAGCACCAGCAGCAGCAGGACCAGCAGCAGCAGCAACAGCAGCAACAGCAGCAGCAGCAGCAGCAGCAGGCTTTTTTGCTGCTAAGGATACAGAGACAGCGGCTGCAGCTGCTGCGGGACTTTTCCTCCCTTGAGGTAAGGAGACACATTATTGTCTTTTTTTTGTCTCTTTTTTTTGTCTCCTTATTCTTATATATTTACTGTTGCTGTTGCTGCTGCTGCTGCTGCTGCTGCTGCTGCAGTGTGTGCAGGCAGAGGCACTATCAGGCTGCACTCGTGCCTTAGCAGCAGCAGGAGACAATTGTCTCCTTTATGAATGGGGAAATGTATTGAAGGCTTTGCTGCCCCACTTAACCTCGCTGCAGCAGCAGCAGCAGCAGCAACAGCAGCAGCAGCAGCAACAGCAGCAACAGCAGCAGCAGCAGCAGAAGAAGCGGAGGTTGGTTGAGCAACGAGTCGCTACGCTGCTGCAGCAATGGATTGCTCGTGCTGCTGCGCTGCAGCAAACATCAAGCGAGGTACGCCTGCTGTTTTAGTTTTGCTGCTGCTGCTGCTGCTGCTGCTGCAGGTGCTGCTGCTGCTTCTGCATGTGTCTCCTCTTTGTCTGTCCCTTTTTGTTTGTTCCTTCTAGTGTCTTTTTATTGCTGCTGCTGCTGCTGCTTAGTTGGTTGGTGCTGCAACAGCAGCACCACCAAGAAGGCGCAGCAGCAGCAGCAGCACCAGAAGCTGTCTCCTTTTGCTGCAGCAGCAACTGTCTCCTGTGTCTCTGTTGCTGCAGATTGCTGCTCTTGCTGCTGTATTCGCCGGCGTCTTAGAGAACTCTGAAGGAGAAGCAGCAGCAGCAGCAGCTGCAGCAGCAGCAGCAACTGCAGCAGCAGCAAACGCAGCAGCAGCAGCAACAGCAGCAGCAGCAGGAGGAGACAGCAGCAATGCTGCAGCAGCAGAAGACATGGAGGAAGAAGGAGACATAGAGATGAAGGAGACAGCAGCAGCAGCAGCAGATGCAGCAGAAGGAATGCGCGTAAGTATTTATTATTTATTTATTTATTTACTTATTTTTATTTATTTATTTATTTATTTGTATTTATTTATTTATTTATTAATATAAATAATAAATATAAATAATAAATATAAATATAAATATAAATATAAATATAAATATAATAGTTATAGTATACACAAGATATATAAATAAATATAATTCTCTTGCTGCTGTTGCTGCTGTTGCTGTTGCTGCTGCTGCTGCTGCTGCTGCTGCTGCAGCAAGTGGAGTGTCTAAGCAGCATAAGACGTTTACGTAAGAAGAGACAAAGACTACAAGGAGACACTGAATGGGAGACAGCGTCGGACTGCAGCAGCACGGAGGGTCCGCAGCAGCAAGGTGTGTCTGCTGCAGCAGAAGCAGCAGCAGCTGCTGCTGCAGCTGCAGCAGCTGCAGCAGCTGCTGTTATCCAAGGTAATACAGGTGCAAGTGTTGCTGCAGCTGCTGCTGCTCATCTCTCAAAACGGTTACGTCTTGCTGCTGCTGCTGCAGATGCAGCAGCAGCAGGAGCAGCAGGAGCAGCAGCAGGAGACACTAATTCTCCCTCCCTGTCTCCTTCTCCTTCTCCCCATCTACGTAGTCCCTTGTTGCGCAGCAGGTCTCCTTCTCCTGCTGTCTCCTTGCAGCAGCACCTGCAGCAGCAGCAGCAGCAGCTTAGCGGCTTGGAGCCTGGATCAGCAGCAGCAGCAGCAGCAGCAGCAGCAGCAGGTATAGAGAGAGCAACAAGAGCAACATGGGATGGTAGAGAGTCAGCAGATCCATCTATTGCTCCTCCTGTCCCTCCTCCCTCTCCTCTGTCTCCTCCTCTTGCTGCTGCTGCGTCTCCTAGGCAGCAGCAAGTGTCTCCTTTGCTGTCTCCTTTGTCTCCTTCTGCTGCGCTGCTCGCCCCTGATAGTCCTAATGTTGCTGCTGCTGCTGCTGCAGCAGGTACAGGTCTCAGCAGCAGCAGCAGCAGCACAAGCTCGTTACCTGTACTGTCCTTGCCAGAGTCAGCAGCTTCTATGCCTGGCAGCAGCAGCAACAGCAGCAACAGCAGCAGCAGCAGCAGCAAGGAGCAGCAGCAGCAGCAAGACAATCCCCATATAGATATGCCGCCCCCACCATTCACACCAAGGAGACAGCTAAGGCGGCTGCAGCAGCAGCACCAGCAGCAGCAGCAGCAACAGCAGCAGCATGCGAGCGGGAAGCTGGCAGCAGCAACCGAGGCAATGGAAGTATGCACGCCACCACCACAGCAGCAGCAGCAGCAACAGCAGCAGCAACAACAGCAGCAGCAGCAAAAGAAGCAAGGCACATCTGCCTCAAAGGACCAAGGAGGCCAATCTACCACCGCTGCAGCAACAGGAGGAGGACCAGCTGCTGCAGCAGCAGGAGCAGAACCCAAAGGAACAGTAGCAGCAGCAACAGAAGCAACAGCAGCAACAGCAGCAGCAGCAGCAGCAGCAGCAGGAGACACAGAGATGGGGGTAGATGGGGATCGATCGTCTCCATCAAGAGATGAATTCTTAACACCAAGAAAAGGAAAACATTATAGACAAATTACGTAAGAATTTGCTGCTGTTGCTGCTGCTGCTGTTGCTGCTGCTGCTGCTGTTGTTGCTGTTGCTGCTGCTGTTGCTGCTGCGGTTGTAGCTGTACCACCATTGTACATACAACTGCAGCAAGACAGCAGCAGCAGCAGCAGCAGCAGCAGCAGCAGCAGCAGCAGCAGGAATATCTGCTTCCTGTCTTTCGCGTTTGAATCCAAATAATCTGCTGCTTCTGCTGCTGCTCATGCTGCACTTGCTGCTGTTGTTGCACTTGCTGCTGCTGCTGCTGCTGCTGCTGCTGCAGGGGAGAAGTATGCGCAGAGGAAGGAGAAAAAAGTTCTTTTTTTTTGTCTAAGAGCGAAGAGACAAAAACAATTTGGTTATCTAATTTAGATATATCTGTTAATGAGCAGCAACTGCAGCAGCTAATCAATAAACTTACACAAGGACTTACACAGGTATTATTTACTGCTGCTCTTGCTGCTGCTGCTGCTGTTGCTGCTGTTGATGATGTTGCTGCTGCTCCTCGCGTTTATTGGGGAAAAAACGGTGTGCTAGGACTCTTTTTGCATGCGTTGCTGCTGTTGCTGCTGTTGCTGCTGTTATTGCTGCGTTTCTTCTTATCGTCTGTTGCTGCTGCAGCAACAGCAGCAACACGAATAACTGCAGCAGCAGCAGCAGCAACAGCAGCAGCAGGTATGTATCTATGTGTGTTTGTGTGTGCATGCATGCATGCAGCTACGATTAGTTCGTGACT